TTTGGGAAGACACTGGGAAAGAAGCAGGTATCCGGAAAACCAAACAACTTTCTTTTTGTGTGTGTGTGTGGACCACTCCTTGCTGCTCTGCAGCCAAGGAAGCCAAAGGCATCACATTTTAACCTGATGAGCACCTAACCTGTAGAAATCAGTCATGTCAGACTGACAGATCTGACTGGGAGTTTCAGATCAATCYCCCCAAATCAGATACTGAATAATCCTCTCTTTTTTTTGGCCATAAATAGCATATAGAAACTCCCAGACTCAGAAGAGAGGCAATCATTTACATTTCACGATATAATTCAATTTCTAGCTAATGAAGGTTAAAATATATTTATAATTGCTTTCTTATATCTTGTGGTTGCTAAATATTTAAGAAGTTTTTTAATGATACACCAGTCTTTAACTTTATAAATGGTTTACACGATCCAGGGGCTTACAGCTGAGGCTAGATAAACTCAAGCTAAACATATACTTCTAATGTYAAAGAGCAAGTATAATTAAGCACTGAACAATTCAGAAAATCTATTCTTCAGTTTAAATCAGGGATGGATGTCATCTTAAAAATATGCTTTAGTTGGGGTGAAGGACTCAGAATTCCCCTGAAGCTGGAGTTACTGTAGGAAATAATCTGTTTTGTAGATGCAGGAAATAGGATTATTAAGCAAAGTGATTTTTTTTTTTTCGTCTGAGCTTAAATTTTTGCAGCCTTTTCCTGGAACTTGTGCTTCTGTTAAAGGCTGGAGGTTGACTGGACATGGTCACAGTCTGACCCTGTTTGTTTCACTTCATAAAGAGTTCATGATATACAAACTGTCTAAAAATGAGAGAGAGAAATGAAATGAAAAGATCTTTCTGTGGCCTGGGAGTGGCTGCTGTGTAAAAATTGCTGAAAACACTTTTGTTGTRTGCAGAAGGGTGTAGAGAAGGTCACTGCCTTGCTCTTTAGGAGAAGGTACCTTTTATTCTTTCTGAAGCAGAAGAATGGTAACCTACAGCAGAACTGGCTCATTTGCAGGAATTTCTAGCTAACAGTTGTTAGAGAAATTCTTGTCCTTTAGAAAACTGTGAAGTGCCCTGGTTTTAGAGCTAGTCCTTCAAAAATGAAACGCATGCTTTGAGGCTTACCTTTAGCAGAAGAAACGGGGTGATAACATTGTAAGCCATGTGGAAATAGTCCCCAGCACTTGGTTTGTTTAGTGGAAACCACTCCAAAGGTAGAATAATCTGAGGAGAGAGGAAAGAAGCAGATTCTCATGAGCCAGTGGGCAAATACTGTGTTTTATTCTCCGAATAACCCGTAGTCCCCAGCGACGGTCTGAAAGGTGGTGAGAAAGCCTTTATTTTGGGGCTGCTGCTGTTTTTTAATGCTTATGGTTTGAGTTAACGGTCAACTGGGTGACTTGGCTTCACACAGCAGTTGATAACAAAGTTGATTAACCCTTCTTGCAGTACRTATAGCTAAAAGGTGGTTGGGAGACAGGCACTGTGTACAGTGTTGTTTATATCTCAGTCATTCGCTCCTGKAGTGCTACCAAGAACATATTTTGAAGACAAAGAGAGGACTTCTGTCCTGCCCTGCAGTAGCTGGAGTTTCAGCAGTTCCTAAACTCAAGASCTACAAGCAGGGTATGGAGGAGAGCAGCATAAACCTCCCCAGTTACCCTTTATGTTATGAAAACACGGCACTGTCACAACTCTGCTATTCCATATCCTCCACATGTGCACCAGGCAGGGCAGCCCCCGCCACTCACCATCGCAATGGGACGCCCGAAGTCCAGCACCCAGTTCTGCAGAGTGAAGTAGAACCACAGATCAAAATGAAACGGGGAAGTCTTGAAGGTGTCTTCGCTCTTGACGGCTCCATGTCTAAAAACAAAGGCAAGGCCATCACTCTGCTGCGGTGCAGCACAACTGGTGACTACAGCTTTGTGCTGCTGCGTGGTCCCCCGTGCCCAGCCAATCCCCCAGGAAYTGTGTAAGCCGAGGGGAGAGAGCAGGTTTCAAGGGATCTCGGAAAAGGACAGTCCTGCTCTGTGCACACGGTGCCTTGAGAAGCAGAGACTCGGAGTGCACATGAAGCATGGAGAAACGGGGCCAACATCTGAGGTCYTACACCAGAGATGTATGGAAAGGCAGGGGACACAAGTGACAGCGGGGCCCCTGCTCCAGCCTGCGCTTTCCTGGATCTTTCCTGGCTTTTCCTGGAGTTTCTTGGTGTGAGATCTGTGGAGTAACAACAAAGCGGAGACTCCAGCCAGAAGAGGATGCAGTAGGGAAAGGCAAAGCATCGCTAACCAAAACTGGCACATCCCTGTAAGAAGGCTGTCGGGGGCTGCAAAGTGAGCACAAAAGCAGAATGAAAAGCATTAAGTGTTGAATTAAGCGCAACTATTTTTAACTTCTGCACGGTAACGCAAAATCAGGCTCCTCGGCACTTCGGGTGCATGCTGAAACGCGTTAGTGCCAGCTGGTCCTCGAGCACAGGGATGCTCCGGAGGCGCCTTCACCTTGATGCCGGATGTCCCTTCTCCTCTGCGGGACATCTCYGTGGGAGCCTTTCCATCAAACACCGCTCCAGCACCTCCAACCCTGCGCCTCCCTACAGGAAAAGCAGCCGTTTTATCCTGCACGTGCCTCCAACCGCTCCAACGTGGTGCTGGGAAGGGAAGGACACGGCTGCAGGGCGCTATCCGGGCACCCAGGAAGAGCCGGGATGCACAGGAGGAGCCAGCCGGGCACCTGGATGAGCAAATGGAAACCTGGACGAGCAGCAGTTCCTTGGRTGGGCCAAGACATCCCAGTCAAGCTGGGGCCCTCTGGAAAAGCCTGGGAAGTGCGGGTGTGCAGGGGGATGCGGATGAGGCTGGGGCATCCTGGATAAYCCAGGAGACATTGTAATTCCCTGGAAAGGAATCCCAGAGGGGCTGGATTTCTCCGTGTAATCCTGGGTAACTGGGATAAAGATGATGCTGGGGATGAGATGGGAGCCCTGGATGGGCTGGGACATCCTGGACCAGGCGGTTGTACCCGGACAACCGGGAGGAGCTGGGGGTCCTGGATAAGGCCTCGGTATCCAGGACAGATGAGGGAGCCCTGGAAGAGCCGGGACACGTCGGACAAGGTGCTGGAAGCCAGACCAGGCTGTCAGAGCTGGGATGGCCGGGAGGGAACGGAAGGAGCAGGACATCCTGGACAAGGCGCTGGGAGCCTGGATGGAGCCGCGGGAGGCAGGAGGAGCTGCGGGGGCCTCCCTGAGGCTGCCGGGGGAGCAGGCCAAGGCTGCGGCCCCCGCGCCGCGCCGGGACCCCCAGGCCGGGCCAGGGATCGCGGGGACCCCGCACGAGCGGGCGCCTCTTCCCGCCCTCGCGGCCGCTCACCTGCTCTGGTAGAGGGGCCCGGCGGGCGGCGGGGAGCCCGGGGCCGCCGCCGCCGCGTGCGCCCGCCGCCGCGCCGCTCCCTGCATGAGCCCGGCCCGGTTCGGCCTGGCCCGGTTCGGCCTGGCCCGGCCCGGCCCGGCCCCGTCCCCGCCCGCCGCCGCTCCGCCCGGGCCCCGCCTCGGCGCCGCCGCCCCATTGCGCCTGCGCGGGGCTGTCGCCATGGCAACAGCCCGCCCTCCCGCCCAGGGCCTAAGGCGCCTGCGCAGATCTGTCAGCGTAGCAACGGCCTTCCCCGGCTGTGTCCCAATGCGCCTGCGCGGGGCTGTTACCGTGGCAACACTCCCCTCCGCCTCACTGAGGATGCGCAGCACTGTCGCCATGGCAACAGCCCCCTACCCGGGCTCAACGCGCCTGCGCGAGGCTGTTGCCGTGGTAACAGCCCCCTCCGTCAGGGTCCCGCCGCCTCACTGCGGCTGCGCGGGCCCGTCGCCATGGCAACAGCCCGCCCGCCCCSGGCGGCTGAGGCCTGGGGGTTTGTCACACCCAGGGTCGCTTTAATAATTATAATTGTAATAAATAACAAATAAACCCAGCGAGCCCTCGGCAGGGCCGAGCTGCGGGCTTATAGAAACCGCAGCTCTGTAGCCAAAAAATACAGGCAAAAAGGCAGAAAGGCCCCCTGGAAGGATCTGGGCTTTCTGCAGGCCGAGCGGTGCGGGAGAGGAGTGTTGAGCTTGTCCGAACCGGGGGGAAATAGCCCCAAACCCGCGGCCTTCCTGCCTGCAGTGCCGCCCCTCGGCTCTGCGCGCAATAGCTGCTCTTATTTGCCACACGCRCTTTGCTGATCTTTGCTGGTTTCAAAGCAGTGGTAGGGCAGAAGGAGAGCGTTCGGTGCTTTAACGGCTCAAAGCCGCCGACCCTGCGCTTCCTCGGCTGGCGAGTCCTCACAACCTGGCCGAGAGATTCGGAGGCGGAAGGAGGCCACGAGGCAAGAGCGAGGCCAACACATGCTGTGTTTTTAAGYACAAAGTTCACTCGAAACAAGGCAGTAGAATTGAGCACGAAACGGACTAAACTTCAATGCCCCCTGCGGGAAACTGCTCAATGGCCACCAAGAGCGAGGAGACCCCGAAGAAACGGCGGGTAACGGGAGACGAACGACGCGAGCGCTGGCGAGGCCATGGGGACGCCAGCGCTCGGCCCGGAACGTCCCTGCGCGGCCGCAGTTTCCCGGGGCCGACGGGCGCGGCGCACCCAACGCTTCCGCCTCCGCTTCCGGACTCGGCGGCGACGGCGGCGGCGGCGGTGGCGGGGGGGGCGAGTAGCGGCGCGGTGCCGCCCGTGAGCGCCGCGCGTCCCTCGCGGCGACCCGTAGCGGCGCCCCCCGCCCGGCGCAGCGCGGCGCCCAGGCCGCGGGTTCGCGTCCCGCCTCGGGCCGCGCGCTCGCGGCCATGTCCCGGGCGGGCGGCTGAGGCGGCGCCGGGGCCGCCCCGCTCGGCCGCCGGGCCCGGGGGGCGGCCGCATGTGCGAAGCAAGACGGAGACGGAGGGGGAGGAAGAGGAGGAGGCGGAAGGAGAGGCCGCCCCGGTGGCGGCGAGCGGGCCCGGGCGGCGCGAGGCCGCCATGGAGGGCCTGGCGGGCTACGTGTACAAGGCGGCGAGCGAGGGCCGCGTGCTGACGCTGGCCGCGCTGCTGCTGAACCGCTCCGAGAGCGACATCAAGTACCTGCTGGGCTACGTGAGCCAGCACGGCGGGCAGCGCTCCACGCCGCTCATCATYGCGGCGCGCAACGGCCACGCCAAGGTGGTGCGCCTGCTCCTGGAGCACTACCGCGTGCACACGCAGCAGACCGGCACCGTGCGCTTCGACGGGTACGTGCGCACGGGCGCCGTGCGGAGCGCCGCCCGGGAGCGTGGCAGCGCTCCAGGGACGCGCGGGAAAGGCGGCCGGCGACGCCGCGGGGTGGGGGACGAGGGGTTCGCGGTTGGTTGGAGCCCCGTGGGCTCCAAGGGGTTTTCACAGRACGCTTCAGGTTGGAAGGGAGCTCAGGGGTCATCGAGTCCAACCCCCCTGCACGCGCAGGGGCGCACGGGGCACAGGGCTGCGCCAAGCGGGTGTTAAACATCGCCAAAGAAGGAGACTCCACAGCCTCTSYGGGCAGCCTGTGCCAGGGCTGCCGATCCAAAGGGATTCCGTGATGGTGGCTGAGAGAGAGAGGGAGCAGCCTCTGGTCACCACTGATGTCGCTGTAAGAGCTGCAGGTGCCTTCAGCCTTCCAGARTTCCCCCGTTGGGAGCTACGGAGCGGGTAACACACCGTCCATGGCTCTTTCTCCCCCAAAATGAGCCGCTCTGTGACATCACCCGGCGCCCGGTGTCGTGGGCTGTGTCCCCTTCCCGAGACCGGGGTGCACAGGGTGAGCGCGAGGCCTCTGCGTGCTCCCGAAGCGCCTATTCCCACAGAAACACATGGATTATCACAGAAATCACCCTTCCTTCAGTGCTCAAACCCGTGGGCAGGGTGGCCTGAGTGACACGTGAGGTTTTAAAGGCTGGAGGGGCCCGTGTGAGGCGGCAGGAGGAAGGGAATGTCCCCCTTCCCGCCGGGATGTGGTGGTCACACTCCTGCTCTTGGAAAAACACCGGATTCTGCCCTCGAGGCTGCTTGGAGGCGGCTGCTCCGGGCTCCCCGGGATGTTTGCGGTGCTGACGGGCCGGCGCGTGGACGAAGGAAGGAGAGATCTGCGCTGCTGGTAGCAGCCCCACCTTGCAGCCGACACCCCTTTCCGGGTGCTCCGGGGGCAGAGCGGGTTTGGGAAGAGGTTTGTTCTGCCGCACGTCCGTGCAGAAGCCTCTTTGGACACGATTTGCCAGTGCCAGCAATCCGCACGTCCAAAGCTTGGAGGCCAGACAGGTGGCTGCRTCCAGCCGGGTTTGGAAGATCTCCAGAGAAGGAGACTCCACAACCTGTCTTGGCCACATGGGAGAACATGGGCTGCTGCTCCATGTGTCACCTCGCCTAGGGAAAAGCCACGTTCCCCACGTTGAAAATGCCAAAAATGAGGGCATCTGCCCGGGGTTTGGATAGAGCCTCTGTGGCAGAAAATAGTAMAAGGGCCCCGCTTTGCTGCTGATCTTTTTCTCCTGCTGGACGTTGATCCGCAGCCTGGGGGGGATCAAAGGAGGTTTTGTTCCGGGCACAATGAGCGCCCTGTGTTATCACCTATTCTCCGGCCTYGCTGGCACGGACGCCTTGGGGAGGAGTCACCGGCTCATGTGTCCCCAGATGCCACCGGGGGTTATTTTCATTCCTCTTGTCATCTCATGATGCAGAGGACCCACCTGTTTGGCCTCCACGCTTCGGACTCGTGGATACCTACACCTGGAGCACACCCATAAATTGCGTGCTTAACAAATCCTAGGCGCCGACTCTGAAATCTCTGCCCCTGTTTTAGCGTAGAAGGGCTTTAGTGTGGTGATTTGTGAAACAAAGAGCTTCTGGCTGTGAGTAAAGGTAGCCACATCTGCTCCGTAGACATTCCTACATTCCAGAGACTTTACTTGGCTTCTGAAGCGGCGTCCAGAGGTGCTGGAGATGTGAATAGCCGCAAAACTTTTCCTGGCAGTGATAAAGATCACCGCTAAAATTAACTTGGTGTGTTACARTACTTTAACTTTGGAAAACGTGACCACGTGGACACGTGGAAATAAAATCCTTGTCCTTCCCCTGGGGTTTGGGATGTGCTCGGAGCGTTTGCGAGCGCCGCCTGTTTCTGCATTCAAGGGCTACTTCAAAGACGTGGTGGGATGGGAAGAGCATCAGCCTTTATCTTTGTAGTTACGCGACAGGCTGGATCGGGGAATGAAAACAGCTTGACAGGCTGCGCTCCCTCTGCTCGAGTTATCTGTCCCCTCACTTGCGAGTGCCAGTAAGCTGCCTGCAGAGCCGTAATGCAAAACAGATCGCTGGAACAAAACTGCTTAAAATAACCTCTGCTTTTTAAATTTTTTTTTTTCCTTTTTAACCAGATTGCGGCTCTGTGTCGCAGTGTGGCCTCATAGGGGTGGCAAACTGCAGCGCAGGGACAGAGAGAAGTGATAGSACAGGAATTTCTCAAGCCCGCAGTGCTGCCAAAGCCAGAGGGCTGTTCAGCTCTGTGCACACCTACACTCGGTTCTCCTTTTGTCAATATATGGACTTTAAGCTTTCCCTCTGAGGTGCCCGTTTCTCACATGGGGGTCAGAGTGATGGTAATAACCCTCCTTCCCAGGCCTGGGGCCGCTGGGGGCTGCAGCCTGAGGGGGGTCTCCAAAGCAGCCCGGGAAGTACGAGTGCAGGACGTGGCTAGACCYGGACACTGCTTTGGAATCTCCGCTCCCGGCGTTTCTTCCTTCAGGAGGTCGTGCACGTGCCGAGTCTCATTCTTTTGCCGTGGCCATTGTGGTAAATTCCCTCAGGTGCAAAAGCAGGGTGGCCGTGAAGCCTCTTTAATGACGGGGTCCCTGCTGCTCTGCCTGCTGCTCGGCTGGCTGTAACGAGCGGCAGTTTAACCGCGTGTTTCTGCCTTTGCGTTTGCAGCTTTGTCATTGATGGAGCCACAGCGCTGTGGTGCGCCGCGGGAGCCGGCCACTTTGAAGTTGTCAAGCTGCTCGTTAGCCACGGGGCCAACGTGAATCACACGACGGTGACCAACTCCACCCCGCTGCGGGCCGCGTGCTTCGATGGCAGGCTGGACATCGTCAAGTACCTGGTGGAGAACAACGCCAACATCAGCATCGCCAACAAGTACGACAACACGTGCCTCATGATCGCCGCCTACAAGGGCCACACGGACGTGGTGCGGTACCTGCTGGAGCAGCGCGCCGACCCCAATGCCAAGGCGCACTGCGGGGCCACGGCGCTGCACTTCGCCGCCGAGGCCGGCCACCTGGACATCGTGAGGGAGCTGGTGAGGTGGAAGGCGGCGATGATGGTCAACGGGCACGGCATGACGCCGCTCAAAGTGGCCGCCGAGAGCTGCAAGGCCGACGTGGTGGAGCTGCTGCTCGCCCACGCCGACTGCGACCGGAGAAGCAGGATCGAGGCCCTGGAGCTTCTGGGTGCCTCGTTTGCAAACGACCGGGAGAATTATGACATTATGAAGACTTATCACTATTTATATTTAGCCATGCTGGAGAGGTACCGAGACAGCGAGAATATAATTGAGAAAGAAGTTCTTCCACAAATTGAAGCTTATGGAAACAGAACTGAATGCAGAACTCCTCAGGAATTAGAGTCTATCCGGCAGGACAGGGATGCCCTCCACATGGAAGGCCTCATCGTGCGGGAAAGGATTCTGGGCTCGGACAATATCGACGTTTCTCACCCCATAATTTACCGCGGGGCTGTTTATGCAGATAACATGGAGTTTGAGCAGTGCATCAAGCTGTGGCTCCATGCGCTGCATTTGAGGCAGAAGGGCAACAGGAACACCCACAAGGACCTCCTGAGGTTCGCTCAGGTCTTCTCTCAGATGATACACTTAAACGAGCCCGTGAAGGCCAGGGACATCGAGAGCGTGCTGCGGTGCAGCGTCCTGGAGATAGAGCAAGGCATGTCCAGGATCAAAACCACGCAGGACGCCGACATCCACACAGCCATGGACAACTACGAATGCAATATTTTCACCTTCCTCTACCTGGTCTGCATCTCCACCAAGACCCAGTGCAGCGAAGAGGATCAGTCGCGGATCAACAAGCAGATTTACAACCTGATCCACCTGGACCCCCGCACGCGGGACGGCGCCAGCCTGCTGCACCAYGCCGTCAACTCGAGCACGCCCGTGGACGACTTCCACACCAACGACGTCTGCAGCTTCCCCAACGCGCTCGTCACCAAGCTCCTGCTGGACTGCGGGGCCGACGTCAACGCCGTGGACAACGAGGGCAACAGCCCGCTGCACATCATCGTGCAGTACCACCGGCCCATCAGCGACTTCCTCACGCTGCATTCCATCATCATCAGCCTGGTGGAGGCCGGGGCGCACACGGACATGACGAACAAGCATAAGAAGACGCCTCTKGATAAGAGCACCACGGGGGTGTCCGAAATACTCCTGAAAACTCAAATGAAGCTGAGTCTCAAGTGCCTGGCTGCCCGAGCGGTGCGGATCTACAACATCAGCTACCAAAACCAGATCCCCAGGACTCTGGAAGAATTTGTGAAGTTTCACTAGGATGCGTGAAATCCTTCATGGTGGTGCTATTCCCTGGAGACGGCCGCCGCAGAATACATGTGTGTACAGAGATCGTTTTGCTCCAGTCTTTGTTTGGTTCCTTTGCATCTGGTCTTCAGCCTCGGGTCTTAGGCAGGTCTTGGCGGGGGGGAGGGAAAAGCCACGTAATTATCCTGTAATCAAATCTGATGTTTGAGATTCGTGGTCTCTTTTTTTTTTTTTTTTCCCTTTTAATTAAAAAATTGCTTTGTTATCGCTTGTTTTATGGACAAAATGAAAAGGAATACAAATGTAATCGGTGCAAAATACTTCATTTCAAATATACATTTTTCATCTTCCGTTTGCAGTCAAGTGCTTTAAGTAATTATTTACAGAGGCACCTCTGAAAGCCCATGCCACCGATGCAGGAACTTTGCAAGTGTTAAATCYTCTCGGAATGAGGTGAGGAGAAAAAAAATAACAGTTGGGAATTATGTGGTAGTGGCTAAAAGTGAAGCCTCAATTTACAGAGCAGCCCGTTGCTCCCATACCTCACAGTCCTTTTTTATGCCTTTTGGTTAATGCTGAAGATGTTGGTAACATTTTAATTAAAAAAATAAAATAAATTTGAACTGCGGTTATCAGCAACTACAGAAGTATGGAATGCTCTGTTGGGAAATACAGGTTTCAGTTCAACTATGGGTATGTTCATCCGAGACCAGCTGGGTTATCACGCTCCCCGTTTGCGCTATTACAGTAAGTATTGAACAACATCTCAGAAAGGAACCTGCACTTTGGGCCGAGTCACCCAGAATTATGGGTTCTTACTTATTGTAGCTGAGTTCATATATAAAGATCATGCATGGATACCTAGAAAACATGTAGGGTATTTGTGTTCGTGTGTGTCCCAACATTTCAAAAATGCTTTTAACTTGTTTTTAACTACTTTGATGATGAACATGCACCTTTTTAACTCGATGTACACCTGCACTCTCGGGTTGCAAATGCTGTATCTTCCTAATGGAGTGGTCTGTCGCCAAAGAGAGTCTTCCTTTGGAGTGTGGGACTGCCTGAAACGGGGTTTTCCATGAGCATGGAGTCTGTGCCTCCCCGGATTGGACTTGAGGATATTTTTGCCATGATTTTTACTCCTTCTGATRATCTCTATTAAAACTGGTTTTTAAAAAAGTTGTCCTATCGTAACATCTTCGCTGATAAGCAACTGATTGTATGATAAAACTGTTGCTTGAGAACGTGCTTCTCCTTGGTAGAAGTTACMGATACTCCAGCAGTAAAATGTCACTTGCTTTGACAGGCTACCGAAAACTGTTTATTTTAAATGCAGCTTTTTATCTGTCAGAAGATGAAAGAATGTTCTGTAGGGTTTTTTAAACAATCTGAGTCGAACTTTAAGGCAAGATTTGGGCACACGTTTCTATTTGTATTACAAATAAATAAACATTGAATGTGGAGTTAGTTGCAGCTCTAGTTCTTGTCCAGTGCCAAGCAGAGGAGCGCTGCTTTGCTTGCAGGGCCCTGCGAGGGGAACGGCTTTAGGAATGTCTCCTAAACTGCACACTTTGCTCTGCCGGCAGGAAAACTAGCGCCGGGAATGGAAAAACGTGTCTGCTCTTTGTATCTCAGGTAGGCTGGACTGCAGTGTGAACTTAATAAAGTAAAATTGAAGCTGAGCGGTGGGCAAAATGGCCAAGGCCAGTTCAGCCTCAATGCAACCAGCGGCTGTTGTCCCACGGTGGGAAGGCTGAAGTGTCCTGTAATCCCATGTGCTCCATGTCTTCCTCCTGCATCCYGGCGGGCATCGAGCTGGAGGCGCCAGGAGCTCGGGCTCCCTCTGGGACTCGAYCACGGGGGTTTTAGTGCGACTGTTGGGAAGAAAGAAGAAAATAACAGTGCTCAACGTGCTGCGACACAGCCCTGAACTGGTCAGTGCTTTAAACCCTGCGCCTGGAAACGGTGTCTGTGGTGGCTGGAGCTCGGAGCCCATAACTCCAGATTCCACGGGTGGATTTGCCCTGCTGGACACTGCCCTGCACTTGCTGTTAATCCGCACGGGAAGCCACGAGGGGGGGGAAAAAAGGTCTTCCGTTATCCCGTGGATCACACAGCCCTGCGGTACCTTGATCMTTTCCACATGGGCACGTCCAGAAATCACCCTGTGCATCTAGCTAACAACGGGAATCCTAGGGATTCAAGGGATTCAAATGAGAATCAAGGGTCTGAGTCTGTTCGACAGGAGACGGTGACCAAGAGGGAGCGAGCTGGCTGATGTGCTGGCTAATTAGTCACCGATGTTTGTTAATTAGGTAGCAGTGGATAAGGGGAAGCTCCGGTGGTTGCTCTAATGGAAAGCCTTACCCACTGCTGGGTGGTGGATTGAGACGGTCTTTCCTTGCGCTGCATTTCTCAGGATCTGTTTCTGGCCTATGGAATAATCCCTGTTGTGTTCTTGTGACATACCTGTATAAAGCTGTTCTCGGAACAAATGCCCATTTGGAATATCTCTAGTGAATAATAAGRGAAAGGAAGCTCCTCTGCCCCAAATTCTGTTTGTTTTTGGTGAAGAGAGGAGCGTCGTCACACGCCGAACGAGCTGGGAAAGCTGCTGCCTGGAGCTCCTCGCACTGCTCCTCTCCCGCCTTCGGCTCCGTGTGTTTTCCAAGGTTTCTCTTTGCTCCTGCTTTTCCCTGGGCTTCTTGCAGGATGGGAAGACCCCATTACAGAGGATATGCAGCTTTGGGGCAGGGTCTGCAAAGAGCCCTGCAGGTTGTGCCCTCCGCACTGCCCAAGGGGTGGGAAATGTGGGGCTCAAGCATTAAAACCTGCAAGGGTGCACGTGATTTGGGGGGGAATTAATTATTTAATCAACCCTTTACTAACAAACACCTGCATGAAGTGCCTGGCCTGCGCTCGGGGCAGCTGCCTTGTCACCCTAAAGACGCCCTTTCGGTTCCTTTTTTCCCCATTCTCRCTTTACTTAATACTGCTGACGTGCAAACAGTGACCCCTACTCCTTGTTCCACCCGTTTGCTCCTGTTCGGTTAGTCGTGTGTGGGACTTTTCTAAAGCTAAGTGCACACAGCGTTGACTCTAATACCTACAGGAAAATAAATGGGAGTATTTTTAATAAAAAGAGCTATTTTATGCTACATAATCTCACGTTTGCATCGCGCTTTCCTGGTCGTTGTTTCGAGTGGTCGCTGCTGTTGGAAGCAAATGGGCCCTTTTAACAGCTCCAAAAGCCGAGACCCTTTCAGGCAGCCCTTGCAAAGAAATTGCTGTTTTTGGGGAACAATTTGAATGCAGGACAGCCTCTGTGCATCCTGCTCATGGGAATACTGGTTAAAGAGGGGGAAAACAGACCTGCGGAGTCTGAGCCCATGGGCTGTGCAGTGCTGGGTGCCCGGGAGCAAATCCCCCCTGAAACACCCCAAAATGCCCTTGGAAAGCAGCCTGTGTGGCCCAAGACCCCARCCTGGGGCAGAATGCACCTGGAAAGGGTGACATTAATAATTTCCATTCAAGCTGACGATGCCACCAATGAAAAATGCAATTTTTATGCCCCCTATTTATTCAATTGCCCCTCGTACAGGGAAAGCTTGGGGCCAAGCCTGCAAGGACACAGCTCCCTAAAGGAAATGATTCCAGCATCATTCCCCAAAAGGCTCTTAGGGCAAAATAAATGTGTGGGGAGGCAGGTGTAGGGCTGGCAGGAACATGAACTTTGCTTACGGATAAACTGGTGGAAGGGGACGGTGAACACAAAACCCTCTTGGAAGCTGCGCACTTTTAAAATACTGTACTTTTAATCCTTAAAAAAAATGCTAAGACAGTATTTAACAATTACACATCAGGTGGACATATGCTTTCTTCTCGTTCATAAAATTAATATTAGCATAAATAATTCTGTTATGCAAAAAGAAAGGTTTTTGTCGCACAGCGCTGACCGTCAGCATTCGCGTTACTCCCGGTATGTACAGTTATAATACACGTGCAGGGTCTTGCTGGGCACAAGCGCGTTGAAACCGCTCCGGTTGTACAAAACTCTTCAAACCGCTTTCTGATTTTTTAAAAATATTTGTTTGTTTTTTTTTCCCTTTCTATTCAGACAGGTAAATATTCTTAGAATAAGTATATACAGCTGGACACTGGAGATATTTGCATTAAGGTGCTTCAATTCGCGATCATTGTCTGTATTCAGTGCACTGGAGGGAAGGCGAATGGGGGGATCTCCGTGGGGCCGCCCTGCTCGGCGGCTCCGCTCGGCGCCCGGGCCCCGCGGGCGCTTCCCGTCCCGGGAATAGGGACCGGGAGCCGCTGGGGCCGGGACTTGGGGGCCACTTGTGCCATTTGCTCGCCCGGTGCTCGCGCTGCGCGCTCCGTGCGCGGCTTCAAAACCAGCTTGAAGGAGGTTTTTTTTTTTTGCTGCGTGGATTCTGCACAGGGCCACCCGACTGTCCTGCTTGGTTTAGTTGGATATTTTGGGGGGTTTTGCGTTTGTTTGGGGTTTTTCGGGCGGCCGGACGCTGCTCCGCGGCTCCGGGAAGGGGCGAGCTCGGCGCTCTTCACTCCAACACCTTGGCGCTCGCCTCCTGCTCCGCGTCCCTCTTGCGGCTGCTGCTTTTGAAAAACCCCAGCTGCAGCGGCCAAAGACAGGAGAAAAACCCCGCGTTACTTCAGAGGGGCACCCTGGCCCTACGCAGTATAGATAGCAAACAGAGGAGGTTGGAGAAGGCCGTTTCCTTACAGAGGTATTTGGGGATGCTAAAGCGTTCAGCGCGCGTTACTGAAACCGGTTTAATATTTAATGCTTCCCCGAGACAGTGCAGAATGCAAAGAATGCTGGAAAAACCACACGGGGAGGTGTCTGGGGAGCCGTTTTGGGGCTTTTTCTCCCTTGCCGCATTCCTGCCCGGCCGGGCCGCCCGCTCCGTCCCCGGAACCCGCTCACCTTCCAGAGCGCCAGCACCAGGAGCGCCAGGAGCAGGAGGCCTCCTAACGTGCTGCCCAGGATGATCCAGATGGGGATCTGCGACTCCTCCGGCTTGGAGATTTCAAAGGTTATCTGCAAGGCAAAGGGGARTGAAAACCCTCACCGTGCACCCCAGGGAGCTCCTGGGACCGTGGGGACACTGGGAACATGGGGTCTTGGTGGGGGATGGTGCAAAGGTGAGGATGCTCTGGGAATGGTCCCATGGTGGGGATGGTGCAGGGATAGGGATGCAGGGAAGGGTTCAGTGTTGGGGATGCTCTGGGAATGGTCCCATG